TAAACGTAAACGTTAAAACGTAAAAACGTAAAAACGAAAAACGTAAAAGTAAAAGTAAAGTAAGTAGTAGGAGGAGGAAGGAGGAAGGAGGGAGGAGAGGAGAGGGAGAGAGAGAGAGAGAAAGAAAGAAAGAAAAGAAAAGAAAGAAAAGAAGAAAGGAAGAAAGAAAAGAAGTTGACCCTCCTGGGAAACCTTTCCAGCAACTGGGGACATCATAGAGCCTAGTTTTCAAGGCATATGAGGATGTAGACTGCACTTGGTGAGGAAGTCACAGAGAGAGAGAGAGAGGGAGAGGGAGAGGGAGCGGCCCCAGATCTCACTGGCCCCGTCCTCCCCACTCACAGCGAACTGCAAGGTACCCTAGCTCCTCAGGGGTGCTTCCTTCATGCCTCCTTCCCCAGGCTCCTAACCTTCTCCCCATTCTTAGCAAAGTGTAATCAGTATCCCTGACCCTGAGCAGACGCAGCGCTGGAAGGCAAGCCTCCTGTCCAAGGTGGCAACTGGTCCCCAGATGTGCAGAATCTGGAAGACCAGGGAGCCACAGTGCAGCAGTGACACAGCAGAATAAAACATGGGGACACCTCAGCACACGCATGAGGACAGCAGTGCTGTATGGCTTTTTAGGTCTCAATGCATCCTTTTGCTCTTATTTCGAGTACAAAGAAGTAGCCAGAGGAGGTTTAGCTCAGCGAGAGTTAAAATTTCCAGAACAAACATGGGAACCATCCTCATCCCCTGCGCTAGCCCCTTGGTCTTCCTGGACGAGCACTCAGTCCTCCCAAAGCCCCCGGCATCTAAACCTTCCCCAGAGTGCCTCAGGTGTCCCTGGAAGAAGATGGAGATCATGCACCCTCCAATGGAGGGAAAACAGTAAAGACTCACAACAATCAATGGAGAAGAGCATTTCTTACAGAGACTGATGTGGAAGCAGTAAAGCCTGGGTAACGAGGTAGAGAATGACTAGACACGGGCAGGAGAAGATGGGAGGCATCTCTGGCCTGACCTGAAGGAGGAGAAATAGAGCAGAGGATTTAGGGACAAAGGGTGAAGCAGGAAGTAAGATCTGAGACAGAAAAGGTGTTGGTGTTTGGGAACAGAGCAAAGGTGACTGTGACAGGGCAGAGTGAACTCTGAGAACAGGGTGAGCTCCCAGGATGAGGCTGGAGACACTGGCAGGGCCCGGGGGATGACAGGGCTGTGGAGCCACAGTGAGGTGTTGGGGTCTGGTCCTGAGGACAAACGTAAGCCAGCGGAGGTCTGAGTGACAGGAAGTGACAAAAATCTCCTTCCAGATTTACCCTAATTCGGAGAAGACATCTGATGACAGTCTCTCTGACTCTGAGCCTACGGTCCTGCCTCCAACCTACTGTTCTTTTGTTTTTCATTTTGGGAGGACTAGGACACATCTAAAGTTCCAATTACAATTGGGCACTCCCTCCAAGAAGAAATGCCACACACAGACACTCACCCAATTTGGCCAATCATTTGGGGGGTCAGGGTTGATCACCCTCAAAGAATTTCTGGTCTACTTTCCCATCTCTGTTACATGTGGGCTCCCTGATGCCCAGAGGGGAGACATTTCTAAAAAGGTCTCAGCTGAGTCAACAGAACCAGATGGAACTGAACTCTGAGAAGGTGGCCTGAAGGGTCAGTGGGCGGTCTGTCCTTACCAGCCTTCCCACTTAAAACACCGGAACCATCTTTCAGGTGCCTGGGCAAAGGAAACAGCTCTTTCAAGGTCTGATCACACAGATACCAAGCATTTAACTCTTCTTTTCCAGAAAAGCACAATAACATACTTTTAAAGTATAGAATTGCAAAACCATAGCAATGGTGAGGAATACACTGGAAAAGGTTCAGCTGTAAAAGAAGCTCTGAGCAAATTTCTCTTTTTTATATATTTCAGGTTTATTGAAGGCTTTCTGTTTTGCTTTGTTCAGCAAATTTCGCAAACAGATTGGCTCTGTTGGAAAAAGGTTCCACGTCAACCCAGCCATCCTTCAACTTCCCCTGAGAGTGACGACGAGGGACTTGAGGGGAACATTTCCTCAGCAGCTCACAGCTCACTATTTTACTAGATCACATAAAAGCAAAGAAAACTTAGTATCAGACTAATCAGGTTTAAACCATTAAGTTCGAAGATCATTGACATCCTTACCTAGTACCCACTGAAATAGTCTAAAATTAGTTACTAGTTCCCACAGAACATTTCCAATACCTAAGAGAAAGAGGAGAAAACACGCAGGACTTGAGCTAAGCCAGAAAGAAATTTAAAAAGGAAAGAATTTGTAATTTTTTAAAAAGCTAAACAATTCTGGGGTCAAAGTCAAAAAATATTGAGAATATGTCATATTTAGAAAATGAGGAGGGAGGTATATATAGCTCGCTGGTAGAGTGTGCATTTAGCATGCACAAGGTCCTGGGTTCAATCCCCAGCACCTCCATTAAATAAACAAACAAATCTAATTACCTGCCCCCACCAAATTTTTTTAAAATATAATAAACACAAATTTAAAAAATAAATTTAAAGAAATAAAAATAGAAAATGACATGAGTTGATTGTAGGACATTCATCAAAGGTATTTCAGAAGTCTTTATAGGACAGCAGAAATTGAATGAACTAAGAGTTACCTCGAGACAAAAAGAACAACGAATTAAATGTTAGAGGAAAAAAGTAAATCCATTATATAAAAAAAGAATAGTAATTTTAATATTCCTTTAAACAGGCACCATGAAGTGACAATTTTCCCAGCACACACACACTCCCTGCTCCATGCCAGGAAAAGGGAAACAGGTGAATCACAACCGACTGCATCAAGTCGCACTGGCCTTTGGCTGAAGGACCGCAGGTGAACGCTATCTTCTGAGAAAAATCAATATAAAATGCACGAGCGTTATAGGGAGGAAATTTGCAATTCTCATCCTCATCTGTATAACTGAAACAACTTTTACACTGATTAGAGTATAACGTCAATCTCTCACGGCTTAATCATTCATATCCAATCAATTCATCCGGATCCAGGTCACTCCTCTCTCTCCTCTACTACGCATTTCCCTCTGGCCTTCTATTTATCTATTTCTTTCTCCCTCTGTCTTCGGTTCCCCTCCACTTTCCTGCTGTGTCTGCCCTCCTATTTCTTCCCTCGCTCCTGCCCTCCTCTCTGCAGCTCATTACCTCTCGGTTGCTTTCTTGGCAACCTGATTGTCCTCCATCTCCTTGTATTTCTGCCTCTTCTTCTCCCATCCTAGCTTCCTCTCTGCTCTCCCTCCCTCTATCCCTGATACATTTCTTGGTCCCCACTCCCTGGCATCCCCGGGGGGCTGTATGTCTTTCCTGCGTTATTCCGCCTTCTGCTCTCCGTGTCCCCCTCGTGCTCTCTTTCTTTTCCAGCCCCGCGTTGCTCAGTGCGCCATGGCGCCCACTCTTACCCTCCCCCTACACTATCTGGAGTCCTTCACCACTGTTGCCCCCGCTGCTCCCGCTGCTCAAGGGCCCTTCTCCTATTTTGCTCACCTTCATCTCTCTGGAGATTCCGTTTTTCTCTAAACGTCTCTGCTTTACCCACCTGCTGGGTGGGTTCAAGGCTTATTCTCTTTCACGTTGCTGTCTTTTTGCAAGTTCCTTACCAATTCTCTACTTTGTCATCGGGTCGCCCTCCTCCTTTTCGCCTCCTCAGTCTTCTATTTCTCTCTGAGTCGCTCTGGCTCTGCTTCTCCTGATCCCCCTCGCCCACATCTTTACAGGGATGGCGACGCAATATGTTACCGCGCCCGGAAGAGCACATTTCCCAGAAGGGTGGAATTTGGAACGTCAGAACCAGGGGCGTCACACGGCTGGCCCAGGTCACCTTCCCAACGCGCGGAAAGTGGAAGGGTCACTAGGAGGGGGAGAAGGGCTGGGAGGGAAGGTGCCTCTAGATAAGGATGGGCAGGCTCTCCAAAATCCCAGGGCCAGGACCAGGGAGAGGACGCGGCCTCGCCTGGAGCGGGGAGACGGGAGCTGCCCCCACGAGCCTAAAAAGCCCGGGCTTGGAGGGCGTTAGGGAATCAATCTACCTCGCGGAAGAAAATCTTATGCGCTGCAGCAGGGGTGGAGGGGTCAGTGAGATCAGTAACGGGTTTTAAAGCAGGAAAAAGACGCAACAAGGCCGGGTCTAAGTGGACCGAAGGCCGAGGGCTGGGACCGGCTTCAAAGTGACTTTAAACCGAAGCGAAAGCGCCCCTCGGCCTCGCACGGCGACGTCTGAATTTACTTAGGGTGGAGGGGGGCGGTGCGGGGATTTACGGTCCGTAGCGGCCCTCAGACCCGGGTACGGAGGAGAGGAGACTGGGAGAGCGGCTTAAGACTAGAAAGGTAGACACTCACGCTGGGTAGCGAGACTTCGACGCCGTGCTCTCTGCTTCCGGGTCTGTGAAACTGCGCGCGCGCGCGCGGAGGGAAAAGGCGGGGCAATCTGGGAGCGGGGCGGGGCCTCGGGGCGCGGGGCGGGGCCTGCGTGTCCCGGCTCTTAGCTTTCGAAGGAGGCCTTCCGGGCTTAAAAACGCTTGGGACTCTTTCGGGCCTCAAGCAGCAGTACTGCTTCCTGAATATTTTAAGTTACGGTTCTAACAGTTTTAAGGTAAAAGCTTACAGTCGTGTTGGCCACTTATGTTGGAAACTAAGATGTCTTCCTCCTAAGCTGAAAACGGTTTAAGATCGAATGCTGTTTCTGCCAGCGGGTTGCACGCGAATTCTGCTAGTGAGGCTGAAGCAGTTCGGCGGGCCGGGAACTGCTATCTCGGCGGGCAGGGTCGATGTCCGGCGGTGCCTGGATCCAGAAATATTTTCTGCAATTGAAATCAGTTTCAGCAATTTAACTAAACAAGGATTCGAGTTGTCTGTGTAGGAATGTGAAATACAAAACTCTGCCTTCGGAGAATGGGCAGTTTCACATTGACACCCTACTAATTACTCGTTCACCCAGGAGTCCAGCTCAACACTGCTCAGTTCCAGAGACTTTCAAGGGGACAAGACCTGGAGTCTGAGGCTTGGAGGGCTAACGCATGTGATAATTTAGGCCAGCAACCATTGCTTGAAAAAGAGCAACAAATGTTTAAAAATTGTTATACATTGCACTATTCTTTATAATTGTTATTCTCTTCCAAACTTGAGATGAATTACTTTCAAATACCTTTGAGATAAACCTGTTTACACCATAATATACTTAAATCAACACCTAAATATAATTAATTTCAAACTCACTATACAAATTGGAATGGTTATTTTTTATTTCAAAATTGTAATATATTTTAGCTGTTTGTTTTCTATTTCTTTTTTTAAAAATTTAATTCTTTTGGGAGGGGTAAGGAGGTAATTAGGTTTTTACTTATTTATTTATATTTAATGGAGGTGCTGGGAATTGAACCCAGGACCTCGTGCACCGTGCATGCTAAGCATGCGCTCTACCACTAATCTATACCTTCCCCCGATTTCTATTTCTGAATTTTCTGGCTGGTGTGGATAACAAAGCCTGTAAAATATATACTTTTCAGAAGACACTGGGATTTATTTTCACCTAAAGGATAATCAATTTTACAATATTTCTCAGGGTATTTACTAGGGAGGTATATTCTCTTTAATATGAACCCTAAAGAAAGTAAAACTAGATTATCAATTATTCAATAATTTCCAATAGTTTCATTTCTACCCTCAATGTTTTTACAGTATCTGTTAACATCAGCTACAAGTATGTTTTCTCACATCGCTACATGTGAAAGATTTCATCCACAGACAAATGGCAATCAACTGAAATATAATGTTTGGATAGGGAAATTAACATATTTGAAATATTGTCAGGTGAAAATGAGCAGAATGTCCTATTGTCACACACATATGAATACAAGAAGACACATCACAATGACTGGAATAGATTTTGGGATCTTAATAATGTAGATTATTCTGCATTATGTAATACTGCTAACTAGCCATGTGACAAGAAAGAAGTTTTAATATGGACTTCCACGATTCCAAGCAAAGATGATTCCAAGCAAAGGAAGTTGTGTTGCTTGTATAATTTTCAATGCAGCAAAATGGGCAATTCACAAGGAAAAAGAAGGGCCATTTCCTCAATCACAGGATGTGACTTATTACCAATTCAAAAATGTGAAAAACACAAGGAACTAGTTTGACTTGTGTATATACATGTATTAAACCCTGTGCTAGGAAAAAAAAAGACTATACATTTTTGAACACAGAGGCAACAACTGAAATATTCACCACCATCAGACTTAAGTAAGAAGAGATTTTATTCAAAAGGACTATTGCAGTAAGGAGAATACTCCAACCACAAGACCTGCAAGTATCTCAAAAGCCAGACAGAAGAGAGATTTTCTTTTATACTGAGGGGTAAACAAGGCTAGAAAAAAAATCTCACATGGTGGGTGTAAATGAGGAGGTGGCATGACTCATGGTTTATCAGGAGGTATTTTACCCTAAAGTCACTTACTCTTTTTATTTTTGTTTTTTATTTTTATTTTTTTTAGAGGGGGATGGTTAGGTTTACTTAGTTAGTTATTTTAAAGGAGGTACCGAGGATTAAACCCAGGACCTTCTGCATGCCGGGCATGCACTCTACCACTGAGCTATACCCTTCCTGTCTCCCAAACCTTTAAATTTCAGGCAGGTGGCTTTCACATCAGAGAAAGCCCTATGAACAAAGTTGAGAAAAAGCTTGTTTTGTTTCTAAAAAGATATACATCAAAGAGACTGAGAAAGTACTCAAAGTTTGCAAGTTTTCTAAGGTAAATGTTCTTAAGTGGGGGGAAGGAGGAAGAGAGGGAAATCTTTTCCTTTATTTTCAGCAGGAGGAATGAAGTCTTATTTTTGATATGTGTTTGTCCTTACAACACACACAAAGAACGTCCATCAAACATAACTGTATTCAAATTTCTTTAATTTCTTTTTTAAAAAATATTTTTACTTAAGTATAGCCCGTTTAAAATGTGTCAATTTCTGGTGCACAGCAAAATGCTTCAGTCATACATGAAGATATGTATATTCATTTTCATATTCTTTTTCACTGTAAGCTACTATAAGGTATCGAATTTAGTTCCCTGTGCTATACGGTATAAACTTGTTTATCAATTTTAGATATACCAGTCAGTATCTGCAAATCTCAAACTCCCAATTTCCCACCCTCTTCCCTCCAGTAACCATAAGTTTCTTTTCTATGTCTGTGAGTCTGTTTCTGTTTTGTAAATAAGTTTGTCTTTTTTTTTTTTTAGATTCCACATATGAATGATATCATACGGTATTTTTCTTTCTCTTACTTCACTTAGAATGACATTCTCCAGGTCTATCCAGGTTGCTGCAAATGGTATTATTTTATTATTTTTTATGGCTGAGTAGGAAAATTTCCTTAATTTCTAACTAATGTCCTTTTTCTCTCCCTGGGTCCCATCTAGGATACCACATTACATTTAGTCATCACATGTCCCGAGTTTCCTGTTGGCTCTGGCATACATTTTCTCAGACTTTGGTTTGTTTTGGATGGCCTTGACAGTTCTGAGGAGTACTGGTCTGGTACAGCATCACTTTCGTTGCTGTTACTAGTGAATTCCACTCTATAGGAATTTGACTAATGTCTTTCTCATTATTAGACTGGATTAAGGTCTTTCAGGCGAAAACAGCATAGAGAAAAATTTTGTTCCATCACATCCTATCAACGTTGCAACTCACCACTGTTGATTCTGACATTGATCACCTGGCTAAGGTCATGTGTGTGAGGTTGCCCCACTCTACAGTTAACTTTTTCTGTCCTTTCCATACTGAACTGTTTATTTGGAGGTGGAGCGGTAATTAGGTTTATTTATTTATTTAATGGAGGTACTGGGGATTGAACCCAGGACCTTGTGCATGCTAAGCACTCGCTCTACCACTGAGCTATACCCTTCCCCGCAATACTGTACTCTTTTAAAAAAAATACTTGTACCTATAGCAGACAAGAATCTGGAACAGAATATATAATATGTATATGTATCACTGAATCACTTTGCTGTCCACCTAAAACTAACACAACATTGTAAATCAACTATATTTCCATAAAAAATACAAAAATAAATAAACAAAAAGGAAGTAACTAATGCAGCGGACACTTATAGGGAGTTGGGAATTATAGTCTACCTCTTTGAGGGGAGAGTACATAAATTATTTGGAGTTCTGCTGTATGCGATATTTGTCTCTTCTCCCTTTATTACCTACTCAATCATTTATTTTAAACACAGTAGGCTATCTAATTTTTTAAACTGAAGGATAGTTGATGTACAATATTTAAGTTACAGGTGTACAAAATAGTGATTCACAATTTTTAAAGGTTATACTCCATTTATAGCTATAATAAAATATTGGCTATACTCCCCATATTGTCCAATACACTTTGTAGCTTATTTTATACCTAATAGGCTTATTTTATATCTCTTACTCCTTTATCCTTATGTTGCCCCTCCCTCTTCCCTCTCCCCACTGATAACCACTAGCTTGTTCTCTGTATCTGTGAGTCTGCTTCTTTTTTGTTATATTCACTCATTTGCTGTGTTTTTTAGATTCCACATATAAGGGATATCATACACTATTTGTCTTTCTCTGTCTGACTTATTTCACTTAGCATAATTCTCTCCAAAGCCATCCAAGTAGTTGCAAATGGCAAAATTTCATTCTTTCTTACAGCTGAGTAATATTCCATTGTGCACGTCTATACCACATGTTCTTTACCCAGTCATCTGTTGATGGATGGCTATCTAATGTTTTTATATCTCAATTCTTGACATCATTTCTCCTTGGCTCTTACTCGATTCATTAATCCTTCTCAGTCTCTTTGTGTCATCCCATCTCTCTTCCCATAACTCAGACAGGGTTTGGAAGCTTGGGAGGGGTCTCAGAGATAGGGAAGAATTAGTCCTTTGTAGAACTTCTCAGGGAAGCAGAGAAGACACATGATTTGCCACGAGTCCCTCATGGCCCAGCCCTCTGCCTTTCCTGCTCTCTCCTTGTAGGATCCTAATGCTCCAAGGAAGGAGGGTGTAGCTCAGAGGTAGAGTGTGTGTTTAGCATGCATGAGGGCCTGGGTTCAATCCCCAGTACCTCCATTAAATTAATAAACTTAATTACCCCCACCACCACACACACACAAAATGCTCCAGAGTGCATGATGGGAACAAGCCTCTCCCAGACATGCCAGCGGTCTTTCAGGAGAGACTCACTAGACATTTGTCATTGTTTTGAGTAGTTGAGAACCGGGATAAACTGCTTAATAATACTCTCAGCTCCCCTAGCGTGTACTGTCATTGCTGCTACAGGTGAGCTGATAATTATGGTTCTGCGGGGAGGTGAGGTCACAGAATCACAAGCCTTTATCTCAGGGCCTGGATGTCTCCCTCCCACACGTACTGGCTGTGGGGACCGGGCCCTGCCCACCATGCTC